GCTACTGAATTGTACGCTGTAATCAAATGGTTAAAATGGTCAATTTTATGCTAAATGTGCTTTACCGCAATAAAAAAGTCAGTAGATAGCAGCCAGAATATTACTTTTATTGTTGATCAAGCTGAGTGTATGGCTTACAAGTGAGCCCCAGACTGCCTTTCCAGGTGGTCCTGGGCCTAGGACAGGCCCCAGCCCCGCCCTGGGCTCTGTAGGAGCAGAGCAGGATGAATGGCAGCTTGCTCCCAAGAGGAGAGGAGGGGAGGGGCCTGGACCACCCACTCCAGTTCCTCGTTCTCCGCTCGCTGTGCTCACTGCGCTCACTGCCGACACACACGTCACATAGCCGGGTGGGAGTGAGGGGGAGGCAGGCCTAGTGCCGTTTTGCTAGTGAGCATCCAGGAAGCATTTCTAGGAATGGCAAAGAAGTGCTGGCCCCGCAACAAGCAAGTATGGTTCAGTGAACAAACGCATGGGCCCCGCTCCTCTTCTGGGGCCTGTAGTGACAGGCCCTGGAGCCCTCTGCCTGCTTTCTTTTGGAGAGAATGGTCCAACTGGGCGTTAGAAGTTAATCCTACCTGGGATGGACAGAATCCAAAAATCCCCTCCTGGTCCCGTCCACCCCTGTTCTTTATTTCAACTCCTATTTGTGCAAAGCTTCCATTCCAAAGTGGTCTCTTACCAGCCCGCTGAAGAATTCAGAGTTTGCTAGTCCATCCAACAGCAGTTTTGAGGGAGACCTTTGTTGTACTCTGAATTTCCTGTTCCGGGTCGTGAACCTGTCTTCTAGGAGAGTGGCCCGTGGCAGGGCCATATGAAGATTTTTCATTATGGAAAGAAAGGGTTAGTACTCATTTAGCGGCTCCATGTTTACAAGCGCCTCCCATGTACCAGGCACTGTGCTGGAATGAGTCAGCCATAGACCTTGGCCTTCTCTTAGTTTGGGGAGAATCTGGGGTCACTGTTCCAACAGGGAGGCCCACGGGGCATGTAGGAGGGCAGTTTGGGGAGGTTAGGCCAGAAGAGGGCTTTGGTAAACATAGAAGCTGTGGTCTCTGAAATCTTTGTAATGTGTTTCTGGTTACACTTTAAAGGGAGGAATGTGGCATAATCCTGAGTTAGACCAAGAAGTACCCCCGTCAGCCATGTCTGGAAGAGGAGTTAAGCTGGGGCAGGGTTGGGGGGACCAGAAGCCCGACTACAGATGCTTTGGGGGCTACTGTTGTAGGGAGCTCTCCAGGGAGCTGCAGGTTCCCGTTTACAAGTGTTTAGAGCAGCCTTTCCTTGTATGTCCCCCAGGAAATGAGACTTTGGGTACCCCCCATGGAAAGAGTCCCAGGTTTGGTCTGTGGATGTCTACATAAGGAATGTCTCCTCTTCTCCCCTTGAAGATTGGCAGGGACCTCAGAGCACCAAAGGCAGTGAGGAGATTTACAGAAATTATGCCCATATTTTCCTAAAAACGTGTCTATGGAATCCTTTTTTCTCTGTAGTACCTTGATGCATAGAAGCGTGCGTGCTCCTTCGTAAGATCTTTCTTGAAATTTGTGTGGGCAAGAAGCGGTCAGTCACCGTGAAAACCATCCTTGCAGCTCTTTCACTGTCTCTACGTCTGGCGGTGGTTTAAGTTTTGGTTTTGGACTCACTTCTTTGTGTTGGTTGAGCACCACCTGTTGACTGTTGAGATATTACAGAAATCTGGGATGCTGTGATACCAGTTGTATATTCTGACCTCCTATATATTTGTGCTGAAGTTTGGCCAAATTTGACATAAACGTCAAGGAAAAGTGAAGCATTTCAGCAAGCGAGGAGGAAGAAGAAGAGAACCCCAGACTGCCCCCATCAGATTTGGTGTCTAGCCTGTAGGGTTTGAGCTCTCTCTGTATCATCATACCTCTTCATTTTAAGTGATTGAAGCTGTCAGCATGATCTGGCCTCTTTGAGAAGATGGTCTTATGCACATGTCAGTCATTTTCTGTTTTCTTCTTTTTTTTAATGTTTATTTATTTTTGGGAGCAAGAGAGAGAGCACGCACGCGCGCATGTGTGCGGTGGGGGAGGGGCAGAGAGAGAGGGAGACACTCTCATGGGCTCAAACTCATGAACCGCGAGATCGGACGCTCAACCGACAGACACCCAGGCGCCCGTGAGTCATGGGTATTTTCTTTAATTTTTTAAAAACATTTTTAATGCTTATTTGTTTTTGAGAGAGAGCGTGCGTGCGCAGTGGGGAGGGGCAGAGAGAGAGGGAGACACAGAATCCGAAGCAGGCTCTGGGCCCTGAGCTGTCAGCACAGAGCCTGTCGGGGGGCTGGAACTCACTAACGGTGAGATCAGGACGCGAGGCGAGATCAGAATTGAGTCGGATGCTTAAGCATGGATGCAGCCACCCAGGCGCCCCACCCAGTGGTTAGTTCTTAACAGACACGGCAGGACACCAGAGGTTGTTCTCTTCTCCAGGGTCCTTCCTCGTTTGCATTGTAACCCTTCTGGGCTTCTGCCCTCAGCAGCCCTCTGTGCAGGTGGCCTTTGAATCCTGGGCTTTGGTAAGAGGAAGCTGTCAGTTATAGAAAAAGTGGGTTTTTTTCCCCTTAAGGAAATAAAAAAAAAAGAGGGAGTTTTCTAATTGTTTTTTTCCCCCTGGAACCACCTGCCTGGCTAGATACTAAGTTGCTGAAAGATCTTGCAGAGGAGGGGAGGGAGGGAGGGTTGGTTTGCCAAGCCGAGGGACCTAATCTACTCTGCTCCCCAGCCCGGTTTAAAGCACCCTGCACGCCTCCCCCGGCGCTCCGCCTCGTCCTGGAGCTCCCGACCAGGCATGTTCTGGCTCACATCAAGGCTGTCACAGGCAGGGACCACTCGCCACCTTGTGGTTAGCCCAAGTTTCCTGAGCCTCCAGGCCTTGGCTGAGATGTCACCGCCTTCAGAAAGCCTCTTCTGACTGCTCTGACTGGGTTGGTTATAAGGCTGTGTGCTACCCCAGCCCTCTGTCCTTCTTTATGACCCTCAGCACCTTGTATGCTCCCCAGGGGCGGGGCCTCATTTCCCCATCTGCCCCTTTCCTCTGCTTGTAGCGCTCGCCCTTCTCGAATGAGGGAATGAGACCCAGTTCCTGCCTTCAAAGCGCTTGGACAGGCTGACCTCTGCCCAGGTCTTTGTTCACTGGTATTGAGGGTGGGCCCATGGGTGTCACTTTTTTCCTCCTGTGGGGAAGGAAGAGCCACGTGACAGTGGTGGCAAACACGAAAGAAAGAACTTTTCAAGTCAGGGGGTGTTAAGACTCGGGCTTTTCAGAAGTAACTTGGAGATGGCTATTAATAACATATTTTGCTTTAGGCTTACCAGTTATATGTGTCTAAGTGTATATGTGTACATACATACACACTGTCACTTATTCCTTATGCACATACTCTGGAGGAGATGGTATCATCCTGAGTTACTACTATCCAGCTGTCAGACAGGTTACCCAACTGCAAAAGCTGCCCGGTGCACGTATGATGCAGCCGAGGCTCCAGCCCTGGCCACTGGCCCTCAGTGCAAGTGGACCACTCGGAGCTGGGTTAGGAGTGCCTTTGGACTGGGGACAGGCAGCAAGGAGGGTGTGTGACAGGTTTGAAGCCTCTAACCCTTTGAGCTGAGGCTGCTGCTGTCCGTCCCTCCGATTCTTACGAGGGCGTCCTGTGATGTTTTCTCTCTGCGGATCGTAGCCTTCTGGCCTGTGTCATCTGAAGCCTGGCTCCCTGGGGTGAGTGGGGGAGGCTTGAGGTCTTTGCCAGGCGCATAGCCAGGGGCTTTGCTTTATAAGCCAGGTTCTCGGGTTCCGGTAAGTCTTCCTGTTTGGGTGCCGTCTCTGGAGATAACTGTTGTTCTTCCTCACAAGGTCTTTCTGAGTTGGGTCAGCAGAAGAGGCAGGGCTGTGGCTCACAGGTAGAACGCCCTGATCCCCCTTGGATGTGGACCGAAGATGGCGCCTTGCACGCCTCATGCCCTCTGAAGAAGGGAAACCCTGTGTCAGCCACCCAGAGGTGGCTTCTGTCTTAGCACTTGGAAAACTCAACTCTCCGAGAAGGCTGTGCCAGGTGGTGCGCCTCGCCTGCTGTTAGCTTGGTGTGTGGGGCTCTTTAACTCATCCGGCGAACAGTTATTACCTGAGCCCCTGCTGTATGCCAGGTTCTCCGCTGGGTGCTCAGGGTGATGACATCTCACGGGCTGCGTGGAGGTGTGGGTGTAGACATTGCTTTGTGGAGGGTAGCTCGGTGCTGCCTTTGAGTCTGAATGGTGCTCAGGGAGCCCTGAAGGGGTCAGCAGCAGCCTGGGGGAGGCCAGATGGCATTGCAGCAGCGTGTTAAAGGACGAGCAGGTGGCAGGAGCTCCATGAAGAGTGAAGACCGTGTGCGCACAGGCCTGGAGGCAGGAGAGGGCCCCACAGGCTCTAAGGCCAGTGGGACACTTGTGTGCCTGTATTGTAAGTGCCTCCTGGGGACTGGTGGCAAAGGAGACGGACCAGGTTAAAGGAGCTTGGCTTTCATTCAGTCGCCAGCAGATTTCCTTCTTTCTTTTTTCGCCCCAGCCTTATTGGGTTGTAATCGACATACAACATTGCACAAGTTTCAGAAGATGCACAACGTGATGGTTTGCTATATTGAAAAATCAAAAGATTCTTAATTTTTTATTATGAAAAATTTAAAAGACCTGTGAAAGCCA